TAACTGCCCACTTAATGTGATTTAATGATAGTTTGATTATCCAGATGTGAGATTTGGAATGGACTGACCTACTATGAGGCCCATATTTGACAACTAGGTCCAATGTATTTGTAATCTGTAATTACAACCAATAAGCATTCATAGGGCACTCATCTCCATACCATCTGGGTCCTCACTGCACAATTTTCAGTAAAACAAAAGCAGACTGCTTAAAGAATGGAAGGAAATGTTTTAGGTCTTCATAACGCTTAACAAATTAACCAGATGAGGGCTAAACAAACTTAAGGAAACTTGGGGGTCCTGCTTTTCTGTGAAAGCTGGGGGAAAGGGGCAAAGAGCCCATTTTCTAATACGGCAAATTCAAGGTTTTGCAGCTAAACAGGATTTTGTGCTCTTTTATGAGAAATTTGTTTCCAATCCCAGCCCCCAACAAATGACCTGTACTTTCTGTATTAAGGAAAATGATGGAAAAATGCACTGGAAACTGGGATAACAATTGCTTAATGCAGTGTCATATAACCTCCCCACAAAGAAATCAGAATGAATGCTAACTATATAGGTTGTCTGGAAATGACCTTACTCAGCCTTAGTAAGATAATAGAAGGGAATAATAATTATTTCAGCAAAAAGTTATTGCCAGCAGGCATTCCCCTCTATTTTAACAAGGCTGAACAAGTTAGCAGATTTTATTGAAATCTTTATTCCCAGAATGCTGCAATTAGCAAATGAATTTTATTTGTGTTCACGGATAAAGAAATAGTCCTGCTCCATAAGGAATGAGATTGTGGCCATGGGTGCATTTTAGTATATTCTGGCAAATGTTGGCTCTTACTGGACAAAGATGGAAATGAAATTGGGTCATTTATTGAAGGCACCTGGAACACATATCAGACATGATTGTGTGGAAAGAATGAGAATAAATCTCTTCTCTTTTTTATTATTCTATGGGTTCACTCTGTTCCTCTTAAATGTTGATAATTACTTCAATTAATTCCAGAATTGGAGCATGTGTAGTTTGTCTCTGCTTTCAGTTCATTTGTACATCTCCTACCTCACCTTCCAACTGCTATGTTTGCAATACTTTGGTGTCTGTTTAGCCTTATTTATTTTCCATGGGCTCTTGATTCTTTTTTGTTAGTTTATCCTGGGCTGAGGAAAACTAACTTGTATATTGGGACTTTCCAACCTGTTTGGGCCTGTGGGCATATTATGAATTTTGAGAGAATGTTGTGAGCCTCACACCTTCTGATTGCTTATCTCTCTGCTTCTGTGGGTCACTGTACCCTACTCCTGCCAGAGTGTGCGCACACACAGAAATTATTTGCCCTTCCAATGGGTGTACGCAAAAGTCAGATCCAATAAAAACTGCTTAGAGGTTTTATTTACAATTAAGCAGTATATGAATTCTGTTAAATAAAAAATAAAAATAAAGGGATCCTATTCAATTTGCATAATTGTACACCCTTCCACCCAAAACAACCATTGTTAGACTTCACAGCAAGTCTCAGATCTAGTGTTTGCCATCACCACAAAAATATTAATCCAAGGCACAGATCCTAATGGTTTTTCAAGATTTTTACAGAGAATGACAACAAAATCATCAATAAATTACAGAGCGTATATATGATTTAATGTTAGTTTTGAGGGGATCCTTTGTTAAAAATGGTTTCCATAAGGACCCATATCTCTGATCAATTTTTTTTGAACCACAGCAGTGCTAGAAAGCATTAGATCTGTAATCTTTACAAGTCAGTGGAGACAGATAGGATCTATAATTTGATGGTGGTTGGGTTGGAGGGAACCCTGGGGTGTGGGGTAGGGAATACAATTTCAGGGGAATCCATTTTACTGGATTAGATGTCCATGGGCATCTTCTATTCACCCTCTCCTATGACACCCCACTTTCTCCCCCTGCCTCCCCATGGGTTGCTCCATTTTCCTCCTCCCACATTGAGTTGAAAGAAAGTAAAAGAGTGTGGCATTCTTTCCCTTGGCATCCTTCAGCTTTTTTCAAAAGGCGGGAAAGTTACCGGTCCTTGCTTGCCATCTCATGTTGAGAGGGGCAGTTGTTGGGGGCAAGGAAGAGGCTTTGAGACTTCACAGGCAGCAGGAAAAGTCCTCAAGGGTGCCTTTATACCCACAGAGATGATGTTGGGGACCTTAGTTGAAAACAATGAAAAAAGCTATGAAGAAGAAGAGAAGAAGAGTTTTGGATTTGATATCCCGCCTTTCACTCCCTTTAAGGAGTCTCAAAGCGGCTAACAATCTCCTTTTCCCTTCCTCCCCCACAACAAACACTCTGTGAGGTAAGTGGGGCTGAGAGACTTCAAAGAAGTATGACTGGCCCAAGGTCACCCAGCAGCTGCATGTGGAGGAGCAGAGACGCGAACCCGGTTCCCCAGATTACGAGACTACCGCTCTTAACCACTACACCACACTGGCTCTCTATGACACGAGCTAGATGACTTTTTAAAAAACCCTCACCTAAGTTCCCTAGTCAAATACAACTCCTGATAAATTGGAACATGGAATAAAAACACTGATAGCCTCTCCACTCCTGCAGCTACTAGGTAAGGACAGCCTCTAACTTTTCTTGCCTTTCCCCCAACCCTGAAGGGATGATATGCTGACTGGAACTATTGTATTGTAAAATTGATGGATGTTTCCAGCCTGCATCCCCTGACAGAATGGTAATATCTGGCTTCCCATGCTACCTGGCGCTATTCGGTCAAAAAGACAAAACTGACAAGTGACTAACGAGCAGAGAGACACACTTGATTCTTTCCCCTTCATCTTAGACAGACAAGATCAGTACCCTTTTGCTTGCCTTTCCCTCTCTTCCTGGAAGTAGATGAATGGGATAGTATGACATCTACATGTTGGAATCCAAGTTGGAATGAAAGGGGACAATAGACAGCACAGAATATTCATTACAAAGGCTGGGTGGAGATTCCCTGGAAGGCCAATGCTGTTTGGAGGACTTTATTTCACCCCTGTCTCAGCCATTCTTTCACTTTCAATTATCTCTGGTTGTTGTGTAACAGAAGGTCAGTTTCCTGTTCAGGGCCAGTGTCAGGAAGCCAGCACAGATGTATGTATACCTGCTGGGGCCTGCTACTGAGTTCTAGAGCTTTCTGGCCCTATTCTTTTCATTGCTCTTGCTGCCTAGTCACTTGCTCTTTCCAATATGGGGACAGTGTGAGGAGCAAGAAACTTCCACATGGCTTCTCTTTTCCCCATGCTATGGATTGAGCTATGATGCAGAGGTCAAGTGAATAGGCAGTGGTGACAATAGAAAACAGTGGGACCCAATGTCCACTAAGGGCATCTTGCCACGGGATCCCTAAAGTCTGGGACTGACACAGATCTTGTTAGTTTGAAGCTGGGTGGTGTTTAAAGTAGGGGTGGCTAACCTGTATTACTGCAGACGTTGCTGAACTATAGTTCCCAGCAGCCCCAGCTAGCATGACCAGTAGCAAGAAATGATGGGAGATGTAGTTCAGCGACATCTAGCCACTCTCAGTTAAAAGGATGCTCAGAGCAATGGAAGGGTGATCTCAAGTGGCACGCTTTCTAGTCAGTGCCCTTTATTACTTCATGTTGCTTGTGAAAACATCCTAACCAAATCATATGTTTACACCTGAAATGATTGGAGCACGGAAGAACTGCATTTTTGGGTTGTGTACATAACATATGTAGCAGAATGTGAACTGGATATGTGGAATTGCCTTTACAGCAAATAGTTGAGCCTAGACAGTGGATGGAATGATGCCTACCTGAAGATTTGGCCATCTCTCTTTTTGAGGGAAAGTGGCAGGTCCCTGGCAAGCAGATAGATGCCTGAGGTTTCTTAGTGTTGAGACAAATGTGGGTGGCAGACGGGGATGAAGAAAGAAGCCTGCTCTCTCTGACACTGTAAAGAAGGAATGAAAGCACTAATGAGGCTGAGGGAGTGCTTGAATCTTCCAAACCACTGAAGTTTGACTGCCTATAGCTCTCTGTGTTTTGTGTGTATATGTGTGTGTTTTCTTCCTAAAGCTCGTGAGACTTTTCTGATCTAAGGCCCAGGAAACTGATGAGCTTCAAATTAAATTACACCAGACGGCATAGCTTTACATTTCAAAGGGCTTGAGGGAGAGTGAGAAGGGCTCTGAGTTTCTGTTTCTTTGCAGTAATTGAGGTGATTTTTTTTGACAGATTGTATTATTACAGTTGTATGCTAAATTCACGGCTGGTTTTGTGCCACTTGTTTATCTCTGTTTACTATGAGGAATTCATAATAACCATTTGCAGAAATATCAGATAATATTAGCACAATGGAGTTGAAGAAAAAAAAACTGATGCTGGTCATCTGCAACTTTAGCCATAGGTTTATTTTTATAATTTATGACCTACCTTTTACCTGAAGGTGACAGAGTGGATTACAACACAATAACAATATAAAATAAAGGGTTCTACGTGGGGCTACCTTTGAAGGTGACACAGTAACGACAACTAATCCAGAATGAGGCAGCTAGACTGGTGACTGGTGGCTGCCAAGACCATATTACACAGGTCCTGAAAGGCCTACATTGGCTCCCAGTTCATTTCCAAGCACAATTCAAAGTTGGCCTCAGCCCAGTATACCTGAAGGAGCATTTCCATCCCCAGCGTTCAGCCCAGACACTGAGGTCCAGCTCCGAGGGCCTTCTGGCAGTTCTCTCACTTCAACAAGTGAGGTTACAGGGAACCAGGCAGAGGGCCTTCTCAGTAATGGCGCCCGTCCTGTGGAACGCCCTCCCATCAGATGTCAAGGAAATAAACAACTATCCGACTTTTAGAAGACATCTGAAGGCAGCCCTGTTTAGGGAAGTTTTTAAAGTTTGATCTTTTATGATGTTTTTAATATTCTATTGGGAATAGCCAGAGTGGCTAGGGAAACCCAGCCAGATAGGCAGGATATAAATAAAAAAATTATTATTATTATTATTATTATTATTATTATTATTATTATTATTAATTTATTTCTAAACTTGCTCAGTGGTAGAGCATCTGCTTTGCATATAGAAGGTTCCAGGTTCACTCCCTGGTGTCTCCAAGTAAGGCTGGGAAAGCAAGCTGTCTGAAACCCTGGAGAGCCTCTGCCAGACTGAGCTAGATGGACCAATTGTCTGACTTGGTATAAGGCAGCATCCTATGTTCTGCCTGTTGTCAGGTCAGATTTCATATCTGAAAGTTACAAAAACATGAAGCAGTTTCAAAAGCCACAAGGGATCCTTTGGAGATCAAAGGGGCAACACCTCTCTGTTGTTCTTCGGTGACGATTATCCACCAGCTGTGCAATGCTGTACAAGTCTACTCACAATGTTTACCGTACATTGGGATTTAACTTCCAGACAAATGCAGATAGCATTGTAGCTCAGGGTTACTAAAGATGGGTGCCAGATTAAAAGAAATCATGCAAGGAAATAGCATGAAATAGCAGTGCTTGGAGTTGCTCTGTTGCCACATGATCAGTCATTTCCCATAAAAAGAAAGATGGGTCATTGGCCAAAAAATAGATAGATTTTTCTTATCTAAAGCTGCTTTTATGTTCTGTTTGGTATATAGCAGATTGTGGTAGGAAATTAGACGCATAAATCATACATCAGTTTTCTTTTATATTAAATGGATGTGAGAATTTTAATATATATGCGTCTAGAATTTTGAGAAGACAGTCACTGCTTTTGTACTTGTGTCATTTTGATTACATGCAAACTTAGGTGGGGTGTCTATGAAATCCCATGAGAAGATCCTTACTGGGTCAAACCCAAAACCCATATTAGTCTAGCATTCTGTTTTCACAGAGGCCAAGCATATTTCTGTGGGAAGCCTAAAAACAGAAGCAGAGTGCAACAGCACTCTCTCCACTTGTGCAGTAAATTCAATAGTATAACCATGTACGGTGTGAAGAATTGTGCTGAATTTTCCCACAATCAGCTCCCCAAGGTCTTAAGTTTGTAAGGGGAGAAACACTTTTCTCTATCCACTTTCTTCATTCCCTGCATAATTTTATACACTTCTAATGTCTCCCCCTCTCTAATTACTTGCCTTTTTTCCAAACTAAAAAGCCCCGAATGTAACTTGTAATCTTTCTTCATTGGGGACTTGTTCCAGTCCCATGATGATTTTGGTTGCCCTTTTCTGGACCTTCTCCAGTTCTGCAATATACCGGTACTTCTGAGATGCAGTGACCAGAACTGTGCACAGTGTTTGAAATACAGTTGAACTTTTAACTCTGCTCAAAATAGCATCAATCTACTAATGGTTTTGGATACAGGATTTCAAACAATTGGGTACCTTCCTCTTGCAATTTATATTTATTCTTCATCCCTCCACCTTCTTTATAACCATGCCAACTGGAACTGTTTCAGAAGTTTTGTGATGTATAGATGTAGTATTCAGTTTTTCTTTCACCATGACCGGGACCTTTTCAGCAGTAGGACCCCAGCTGTGGAATACCTTCCCCAGAAAGGCAGATGTCCTATCAATGCCAGACTATTTTGTTCCCTGCAGCCTTTTAAATCTTTTAGCTTTCAGCTCTTCATACCCTCTGTGATGTTTTAATGCTGCATTTATACTTATTTTATATTTGTTGATACAAGTACAACTTGCAGAAATAATATATTGTATTCTTGGCAATTAATAACAATCCCCTTGATGCTAAATAATAATTAAATGAAATTGTGAGCTAAAATTTCTTGTGAGCTGGCTTGAGAACTTTGTTATATGGTGGCACTCAATATTGCAAATAAATAACACTATTCTACTAAACTAGATAGTTTAAAAACATTTTTAAATGGATTGGGATTTGCCTTCCACACCTCTGTGTGTTAGCTCTCACCACTGCTCTGTAACTGACCTCTTTCATGGTTTGCTCTGACATCAGTCATTTCTGTCAATACTCTAGGCCTAGGGTGTCTTTCCTAAGCTCCTACTGACAGTCATTTAACAGTATCAGTTATTCTTCAATATTCTTTTGTTACCCTGATGTGCATCCCTTGCTTTTCCTTTAATGTTACCTCTGCTGATCTGATGACAGATTGCTTTGTTTAGGAAGACTGAAGCAAGCTGGTTGTTGAATAATTCTAATATCTTTGCACCTTTCCTTAGTGTCCCCTAGAAGGAGCTGAGTCATTTTGCAAGTATGCCTAAGTTTTCCTTATGGCATACTTGCAAAATGTTTTCTTACTGATTTCCAGTTGCAATTTGTTTGGACGTCTTGTTTCTGGTTTATCACATCAAGTGCATAAATCTCCTCCTTTAGTGCCATGCCCTTTCTCTCATTTTCTCTAGGTTTCCCTTGTAATTTCCTCGTTCAGTTGCATCACAGTCCTGCAACTCCTCTCAGATTTTCTTTTGTATTGGATGGCTGTACATCAAAATGCTTTTTATGCCTTAGAAATGGCTAAATTGCTAGAATTCTTTTAATTCTCTCTGTTGGGCCTGATAAATTTGTTCATGTGAACCCTCGACTTTTATTATCACATAAAGCATCCACTCCCTTTTACGTTCTCAGTTCCCCACTAATTGTTCTAAAGAAACTGATCCCATTAGCTCTTCTGTCATCATTTTATAAGCAGAAATTGTCCTAGTCACACACAAATACATGTGCGCACACACATACACAAAACTGCTAACTGTTCTATTCCTTGCCACATTGTTTTCCAAACTTTTTTCTAGGAGGTAATCACAGGGCTAGACAGACTTTGGGCCCTGGCAGACTGCATAGTTGTCGGGATGTCCAACTGGAAAAAATAAGAATATAAGAAAAGCATGCTGGATCAGGCCAATGTCCATCTAGCCCAGCATCCTGTTCACACAGTGGCCACCCAGATGCCTGTGGGAAACCTGCAAGCAGGCCTGAAGCAAAGCACACCTATGGTTTGCAGCAACTGGCATTTAGAACCACACTGCCTCTGATTGTGAAAGCAGAGCATAGCCATCATTGCTAGTGGCCATTGATAGCCCCATCCTCCATGCATTAGTCCAATCCTTTTCCAGGGAAGTGTGGGATGTCAAGTCTTATATTCCACTATGGAAAAGAGCAACTACCCACAGTACTACCTTTTCTTTTTTCAGGATAAGGAGTTCTGGGGAATATAGCACCATGCAATAGCAATGCAGCTGAGAAATCAATGACGCTCCGGTTTTGGTCACCTGTAGTCAAGAAGAATAAATTCAGACTAGAACAGGTGCAAAGGAGGGCAACTGAAATATATTTGCTCTGTTTAAGTTTGATAAAGCAAAGAAGGCTAAGAGGAAATATGATAGCCCCCTACAAATGTATCAGAAGAGAGAGGTGTTTTAAGTGTTTGAGATAAGAACTAGTGGGTACACATTGTCACTTCCAAAGAATTTGTTGACATTACCTATTCTGAGCTCATGGTAATGAAGTAAAAAAGGATCTACCTTCTGCCAGAATCCCGGATACTGTGGTGTGGTTATGGTTTCAAATTAACCAGAAAAACCAAACCCAGGCTGGCCAGCTCTAATTCCTAGGAAAATTAAGTAGATGAAGACTTTCATGATGTGGAGGCAATTCCCCTCTAACTGTTGCAGATCAAGTGGCTTTCAAAAGCTAAGATACAGGGGCCAATGTTGACAACCTTAAGTGTGGAGTATATATCTTTAACTTTACCCTGCCTCTACCTGCATTTGTTGGGTGAAGATCTTGTAGATGGATTTTGCTCATGTTTAACATTTATACTGGCTACCATGCAGTTTGGGGAAATAATTTTCATGGAAAATAGATTGGCTAGTGAGTTGTTCTGGATTTGTTGTTTTTGCCTTCCCATGTTGCTCAAGTAGTTAATCAGAGGTAATGTTCTGCGGGCTCCTTTGTGTGGTGAAGTTGCTCTGTGACTTTGGCACACAAGTGCATTGGTTGATATGTAGGGTGGGTGGAAGCTTAGGGAATTTAACAAGTTGACCTTTTGTGTCCCTTTCCGTTCATTTAATACAGTGGTGTCCAAACTTTTTTCAAAGAGGGCCAGATTTGATGAAGTGAAGGGCCGTGGGGGTCGACCAAAGGGCCAACCAAAGTTGTTGAGGATTGAAGTTGTTGAGGGTTTTTTAGGATTTTTCCCCAGGAAATAGACTGCCACATGGGGCAGATTAAACCAACTGGTGGGCCAGATTAGGCCCCTAAAATGGACTTTGGACATGCCTGATTTAATGCTAGGCATTTCATGCTATTTGTTATGGATAGGAGAAACCTTATAGAAGCTAATTGTTGAAACAAAATATTATATTCAAGTTCCTGAAGGAAGAAGATTGATGGAAGATTGAAAGTGGGGGGTTGAGTCAATGGGGGTATTTAATGCTAGCTATTTATATATTTTGTGATGTGTTAAATGCTTTGGCACAACATAGATCCAGCTATTGACTGGGGAGAGGCAAACTGGCTTATATCATTGTCTTATACCCTACAATTTGATTTTCTGATTAATCCATGTGGTTAGAATGTGATCCTGAGCTTGTTAATAGAAAGCATAGCAGCTGCAAAGGTCAAAGGAATCATTTTCTAACCTTTTCTTACCCTGCTGCCAGTGTTTAGCTTTGAAAAGAAAAAGAAACCCTCTCTTACAATAAGCTTGTTTTCTGTCTCTGCATCTCTTCTTCCTGACAGCATAGGCTGGTAATTGGCTTGCCTTCCATTCTGGCACCACAGTGGAGAGCGCTCAGCTAGTTCACTCTTTTTCGGTTGAGGTAATGAGACCTCCTGGGATAGTGCACATGATCCCTCAGCTGTGCTGATTTGGTATTTGGGAGGAGGCTGATTGGAAAAGGGGAGCCGGATCACACACATTGTTGCTTTCCACACCTTCCACTCCTTTTGATTACTTCCCACTAGATCTTAAAATTCTGTGCTGCAAAATGTTTATGTTCAGTTGACATCACTCTCCGGATTCCATTCACAGAGAGGTGAACTCAGACGTGACTTAGGAATAAAATTATTAAGGACCATAACTGGGAAACTTGCTTAGTCACTTCGGTTCCCCTCCTCCCATATTGGAAGAGAACCATGGCTGAACCTCCCTGCACTGTCCTCTAGGTGCATGT